TTTTGTCAATGTCAGTACGAAAATCAATTAACGTTACGTTATAGATGGTAACTATTATCAACTGATTCTAGTTTACAAGGTGTTTTATCTAAAAAGAGAATATTCATCTGAACTTTCAGAGAAAGTAAAGAGTAAAGAAATAAATAATTGAGTATCGAAATCGATCAAGAGGACAAATAAGATCTGAATAATTCAATTCTTTTTAACATCTTCAAGTTTGAAGATGACATGTCGAACTAAAAGAAGAACAACAGACGATCATCGTAATTGATTGACTTTTTTTAAAAGTCAAAGAAGATGTTTTTACTTGTCTTTTCTCTTCTCGAAATCGATCAAATATAACAATCTCAATACTTGCTCACTAATTAGTATTTATCAAATTGTCATTTTAAGAAAAGTTTTCAAACTTTTTTTATCGGAGAAAAAGAATAAATTTTCTTAAACTGATTGGAACAAACGGGAGTAAGTAAAAATTTTCAAATGAAAACAAAATAAATTATATAAATGATCGGTTTTGATCTGAAGATGATAATAATTAATCATGTCGAATATTTGATAATCTTTTCTACTAGTTTTGACCATCCATGAAATAACTATAGAAATCTTTTTTACAGATAAAACCAAATAATCTCATAATTTAGATTTGACGATCACTTGACTAGACTTTTTATTTGAGATGACAAAATTGAAGAAGAAAATATTTTTCCGACAAGCAATAGCTAAACAAAGATAGTCTTCTGGTAAACTCTCTCTTTTAAATTTTTATCTACAAAAGAGACCAAATTTTAATAATCCGATATGAAATTATTTCTTAATTAGTAAGCTACTTTCATTTTATATTATTTTCAGATCGAAAATAAATCTATGATCTTCGATCAGATACTTTAAATCAATATTAAAGTATTTAATTCAATTGAGATTATTAGAAGAAATTCAAATGAAAATATAACAATATATGATGAATAATTATTAACAATAAATAAACGAAGGAACACTATTAAAACCATCAAGTTTAATAGGAAATAAGATAAGTTTACAATTAAATCGAAAGTCTATTCAACTAACACGAATACTTTGAAAATTTAATTAATTTTTATCAATATTAATTAATTCTTTTATTTCGTTTAAACAAGTTAAACTATTTAATTTATTCTTATTTTAAATAATTAATAGCTCAACAGACAATAAATGATTTTTATTCATAATTGATAATAGAATATCAATCCATAAAAGTTTTTCTTCTAGAAAAATTCAAAGAATCATATTCAGATTTTCATTGAATTATTCGAACGTCTCAACTTTTATTTATTTTCTATTTAAAATGAAAAAAGTTTATTAGAATGGATTCAAACACGTTCGATAGAATTATTATATTTAAATAAATAATACTTTTTTTCATCGAAATTAACTTTTTTTTAAAAACAATTTCATTGATACTTTTATTTCTTTATTCTAAAGAGTTTATTTGTGATTAACATCAATTAAATAAAATAATTCTATATATATTTGAGATAATCGATTAATTATTTATGTCTTCATATGCAATATAATAATTTAATTTAAACAAAACAATATTCATTTGTAGTCAACCTTTACAATTTGAATATCAATCAATTAAAAGAAATTATTTCGATAGAATATAAATTAACTTATTTGAAAATGATTATTTTAAAATGTTATAGATAGAAAACGATTTGTTTCATCGAACAAGTTAATATATATTCAATATAAGACAATTTATCTTCACTTCTCCACTCTTAAATCATATTTATTTATTAAATAAATTATCATCATCAATAGAAATTGAATTTTCAATATATTTATCAAATTTATTAAATTTCTCATCTATCGTATCCTTATATTATATCTAGAACAAATAGAGAGGATATTATTTATCAAATAATTCGGACCAAACTACTTCGAATAAGATATTAATAGGATGTTAATATATATTATTTTATTCTTTTCTATAGTTTAATTCTTCTCTATAATGATAACAAGTCAATTTCGATAGAACAGAATAGTTAAACCGCGATTATCCTTACCTGATATATGTTAGAATATTATTATATTGAGAATATATTCTAGACGAATAGATATAGATAATACTATTTTAAACTCTCAGATATAATTTATCTCGATACCAATAAACAATTATTAAAAGAATATTGAATAAATAGTCGATTAGATCTCAAAATATGATTGATATATAGAAAAAACAAGAATAAAAGTTAATTGAAATCGACATAAAACGAAATATGTTAACGAATGATAAAATAATACTCGAAATAAATAAGTTTTATTATTGATTAAATAATAAAAGTGAGATTGTTGGATAACGATTTCGATCAGGTCGATTATACAGAAAAAAATCATCTAGAATTTAAATCGATAGATATATAAAGGTTATTAAATAAGTATATGTTAATTCGATGTAAAACTATGATAGAAGATTTTGAAAAGTAATCCGTTTCGTTGTGTATTAACCCTTTGAGGACCGAATTTTTTTAATCGAAAAAAAACATTATTCAACCTTTTTATTTTATTTTAACTCAAAATGGCTACATAAAAAGGTTATGATAATCAGAAAAAAAGAATCTTTATCATCTTTTAAACAAAATGGCAATTTGCAAGTAAAGTACTCGATGTTCGATCAAAAATCCGCTTCCTTGCTACTAAAATAAGCACAACTTCTTCTTTTTTCTTTCATACGCAAATGCATTTCATTGTCCAAACGGTATGAAATGAAATAAAGAGTATAAGTTCGAAAGAGAAATGATATATTTTGCAAATTCAAGAACAATGTTAATTCGTCAATGAGAACGGGAGTATATATATACACTCAACAGAGAATGAGAATATTCTCGAAAAACAAAAGATGAAAGGAGAAGAGAGAAATTATCATATCACTATACCTTACCAGCAAAATTAAAGAATATTTGAAAAGTAGTTATATGTGAGTTTAATGTGAAATAAACGTTTTTTTTCTTTACTGAAAAGTAGGTGGGTTAAAAATGACCCACCGGTCCTCAAAGGGTTAATAAACTAGAAAAGATAAAGATAATTATCAATAGAAAAATAAATAAAATAATATATACTTCAATACGATCTTGATTTAATGTAACAATTTCTTTAAGACTATCAGATACGAAATAAATATTTCGACCACTATCACTTGCAATTCTTGTCATTAATTGATCGACTGGAAATGATGAATCAACACCAAAGAATTCACTAGAAAAAAAAATCAAAGAAATATTTTTTTTTTTGCTTAATATAAATTCAAAACTATATTTACCTAATATCTTGCCAAAATCGCTTTATATCTTTTTCTTCAAAGAAAATAAATGGATTTTCACGATGATATCGAGCACGTTTGAAATTAGCTCTATAGAAAAATCTTAATAATATATATATATATCTTTTTTTTTTTTTATTTCATAAGTGCTATACCCATCTTCATTGAATACATTTTCTTCTGCTGAACGTTTTTGAGATGTTTCTTCTTGAATTGATAATGATGAATCAAGAGTTTTGTCAATTTTTCGAAAGAGAGCAACAAAAAAAGCACCTGTATCTTGATGATGTGGTAGTAGACGAATACTAAAATAGAAAAAGTAAGATGTAAACATTCTTATACATGATCAAAAATTCCAAAAAGTCTCCACACAGTCAATTTTTGATTTTTGACTGAGATCGGAGTCAGGGCAAACATTTTTCAGTGAGACGATACTTTTTATGATCTGATTAAACTTGCGTCAAATGTATCAATGAAAAGTTCCTCATAGGAAACATATTCTAACAATCTCTGTACTATTTCCGATGAATTATACATTAGAAATTTCAGTTAGTTATTGATATAGTATACTTAATGACTGAAATAACAAACAGTTTTTTTTATATAGTTTTCAATTATTCGATAAGTAAAATGAAAGTATATAGAAATTTCTAAACAATCAAAAGAATTGTAACAATTTTTCAATAAAATGAAAAATCGAACGCTTATTCTTTTCTAATGCAATAGTTTCTAGTAACTAAAGTAATACATTTCTCATACTATTTCTCTTCTCTTCACATCAGAGATGTACCAAGAGGGGGAATGACACTCCGGATATTAAAAAATTTTCGTTTTCCTTCAGTTAAGTTTCAGCATTTTATTGTTTGTTTTTATTCACTGATTCCACAATTTTGTTAACCTCTGGATATCCCTGCTTCATATTCATCTGTTATGAATATTTTCAGAGTCCCTATAGAAGTAGAAAATCTTCAATATTATTTATTTTTTTCTGTAATCTTAGATATCAGATATTCGATTAGCAAAAAAAAAAAATTAATTTACCATTGTTCAAGATGTAATTGTTCTAGAATATCATTTGAAGGTGAAAACATATTTGGTCGAACTAATGATTGCATATTTTTTGGTACTTCTTCAAATGAATTATAAATTTCTTGATTTTTTCCTGTGATACACTAACTTTTTAAGCCAGGTATATTTCGTAAACCTGGTAATTTATCATTAATATTCATAAGTGAAATTTGACCTTGAAATGTTTGTAATAATTGACTAACAACAGCTTTATTTTCAATAGGATTCATTGAACATGTTGAATAAACCATAAGACCACCGGGTGCAAGAAGTTGTATACCACGTGTTTCAATACGTAATTGTATTGATTGTAAACTAGATGCATGTCCAGGATTCCATTTTTTCCATAGATCAGGATTTTTTCGAAGTGTTCCATCACCAGAACATGGAACATCACATAGAATACGATCAAATAATATATTTCCATCCTTTCATATATGAATCGAATAGAAGAAATTAAAATATGAACCAAGAAAATAACTTACATTAGTTTTTAAATTCGGTAAATTTGATGCATCATGATTCATAATAGCAAAACATGGACTTTCTAATCGTTTAACTTGATGAACAAGTGTATAGCATCGTTTATTATCAACATCATTAGCAATAACAAAACCACCTTAATATAAATAATGATAAATAACAGTTAATTATGAAGAATATATATATTTACTTGGGATTGGATTTGATTCATCACGATGAAGACATTCAATTATTTGAGCAGTTTTCGAAGCAGGTGCTGCACACATATCTAAGATCTAAATTTAATAATAATGTATTTTATGTGTATTAAAACATTTTGTTTTTCTATTTTATACTTTATGATGAGGTTGAATATCAAGAACCAAAGGTGGAATCATCGATACAGCTTCTACAAATTATACATATATGGGTAATTTTCATTTGTTAGCGATGTAATTTCACTAGAGAAAAAAAGCTTATATATCTGGATACGGACATTTCATTTAAGTAATTTTTATGTAACAGATGTACGATAAGTTACTCTATATATCCTGAAAATCTCAGTCTTATAGATTTTGGTTTCACAAAGTTATTATTGAAAAACTAACCTTTACCGACGTGGCACAAAAAAGGTCAAAGGTTTCCATTGTATACGTTTACAAATTTTGCCAGTTCAAACAATATTTTTGAAAACTAGATAGTGCATTTTGTTGAGAACTTCTAAGGCTACAAAATCTCTACATAAAGTTTTTCTTCAACATAGCTTTTTCAAAATATTGAGTTTATTCATTGTTAGTGACGTGAGTGAGAACGAATATAGAAACGAAAAAATCATTTTGCAACTGAATGAGAAGTCTAAAACAACTAATTCTAAATGCTACAAATCCTTCTTGGGGATTGTAAGATGATAACAAAACAAAAAGTCTCGTTCTAGGACAAGCACAGATACCGAGTTTTTCGAGTCCGATCTTGTTTAAAACTTTACTATACATATGATTTGTGGCGTGGAATCATTCCTGAAGTTTTTGAACTTTTCCGTTATAAGCTTAGAGTGTTAGTCGCTAATTACATTTGAATTAATTAACTAATTAGTTAATCAAATTTAATTAGATGTGAACGAGCTCCTGTAAAACAAGCCATAAGCACGAACTTTTTTAACCATAGACACAGCTCACTAAGGTCTACAAGATGTACTATGTCTCGACTTGGAAGCGGTCGGGAACCTTGGAATGTTCCCTCGTGAGCAGGAGTGGTTAGAGGCCGGAGCTGCCCATCTCTGATACTGAAAAACTAGGTTCGAGAGATCCTGAATTTTGGAAATACAGTCAGGATTTTATTTGCTTCAAATATTTATTAGAAACAAATTTCTCTAACCTTTATATACCAGTTAACATTACAAGAAAAAATTCGAAATTAAATCTGTATGATAAACTTTTGAGGCTAATAAATATGTATATAATATTTCTTTGAATAGATTCATATATTCATGATTAATTACCTTGACGACTGATATTTCCCTAGAATGAATAATCAAATAAATTAAAATGAATTTCATAAATTAAAATAATTTACATGTTCAGTTTGTTCATAAAGAAATTCTTTAAGTTTTTGTAATTCTGTAGAACTACGTAATTGATTTCGACTAAGATTTAATTGCCATGCTAAACTACCTGGATACCTATAAGAAAAATTCTATTATAAAACTTTGAATATATAAATATTGAAATCAGACCAGACAAGTTCTTTTGGTTTATCAATTGTTGTCGATGATTCAAATGGTTGAAAATATCGTTCGCGAATTAGATGCATTATAGCAAAAGTATGCGTACGAAAACCTGTTACACGAAAAGTAACTGGTAATGGTTCTTTTAATGCTGCTAAAAATGCATCGCATTCATCATCAGGTAGAAGATTCATAGCCTACATATTGATAGATAATAAATAAGATTCAAGATATTTCAAGATTTTTTATTTTTTTTCTAACTTATAATATTTTTCAAGTATACAGTTCGCACATTGACCGTCCATGATCGTCTGCCCGAGAGTGGAGCTCAATTAGTGAAAGGTGATCAAGTGTTCATTCTATTACACAATCTTGCACGGGACACTCGATACTGGTCAATCGACCCTGAACTCTTCTATCCCGAAAGATTTCTCAATGAAGACAAGAATCATCATCCTTATGCATTCATTCCCTTTGATGGCGGTCATCGTCTGTGTATTGGGCAAGATTTAGCGCGATTTCAGCTGAAAGTAATTGCAGCAAGACTGATGCAATATGTAACATTCGGTGATGGTGGTCCTCAAGTCAATGCTGGGGGACATTCGTTCGTGCTTACCATCATACCCCGACATGTCGCAGTCATCATCGAGTTCGATTGACGAAAATAAGCATTTTCTCTCATTCATTATGTATTTCTATCAGTAATTTGAGCAAGGATACAATGTGTCTTGTTTATTGACCAAAATAAAGGTTCAATGCCCAGTGATAAGTATTTTGTTCAACAAAAGGGAGAAAAGAATAGCATCGGTTTTATTTCAGAGAATTCCTTCCTGGCTAATATCTAATGTCTACAGCTGCTAAAGATTTCCTGACTATGTCTGCCACATGACTCCCTACAACTTCTACTTTTCTATGGTTTCCAGATGTTTTAGACTTATTCGACGTTCGATGCTCTCGGTCCTCATTTATCTTGCTTAATATATTCCTTCGATTTCCCTGAAAAACGTTTTGAAAGCATCTGCTTGTCTGATCCTGCTTGCTATATAAGGTCCTATCAATTATCAGAGCCGCATATAATCCTCGTATCTACCTTGGTACGAAAAATTATACACTACAATATAATGAAACGAAAGTTCTATTAAACTATGGGTGATACACCCTTGGACAAAAGTTTTCCCCTCCCCGAATCTCAACCACCAAAAGGGCTAGAGGTCTGAAAATTTGTCTGCACATAATCCACCAGGAATGTAGATCAGTGGCACTACCCGCACTCTGATTGCTTCCGTGGAAACGTAGTTACGATGAATGGTGCCTATTTTTGGTGTGTGATTGTGGGTGTGGAGTGTGGATGTGGGTTCAAACATGAGAAACACACCAACAGTCCACACCCACATCATACTAACACCCACATCTCAGTAGGCGATAGCAAGATAAAATGAGAAAACAGATTTCGCGTTCGTGTAGAAAAATGATTTTTTCCGAGCGATGAAAATTGATCTCACAGAATTTTGCTTTTTTTGAAAAGAAAAGTGCACAATTAAAATAAGCTCTGTATTGTAGATTGTAGAGCTTTTCAAGCTGCATCTTGTGATATATTTTGCTTTTTTTAGAAAAACATATTAGGTGATAAAAAAAAATGAAAAAAAAGCAATTTTTCATTCGTGTAAAAAATTAATCTTTTCGCACGGTCGACATTTTGGTCACTCAAAGTTTTGTCCATTTTGAAAACGAAAACTGCAACTATAAAATATTCGGTCTTATGTAAGTTGTAGAGCTTTTCACACCGCATCTTGTGATATATCTTGTTTTTTTAATACAACGTATTAGATGACTGAAAATTGAAATGCCAAGTGCAGCCATTTAATCTGCTTCACCCGATATTTTTTCTACATATAGAAAAAGACTAATTTTTTGTAGTTCAGTCAGATGTGATACCTTTGAAGGATGCTTTTGAGGTTTGTTCGTGTAAATAAAAACTCGATGTATGCCTCTATCATTTAAAAACAATCAGTTGATAAAGTTGAATTAAATAGTAAAGATATCCGAAAAAACTTTTGGGACACACCGTATAATTAAATTGCGAACTAACTTTCTTCATGTAGTACAATCAAGAAAATATCAATCAACATAAACTGAATTACCAGCAAGAAAAACACGTTTTTTATTTGTTCACGATAGTCACAGTTTATCATAGAATTATTATTTCTTTTTCAGTAGGAAAATAAATAATTTACCATGTATTACTCGTTGAACCAGATCTGATCTGGTATAATACTTCATACACCATGCTCTTATTGAATAAAATAATAATTTGGCGCAAACAATGGCCTAGTCAGGGCATCGAAAATCTAACACTATTGATAACAATAAATTATGAAACAAGTATATCTTCATGAATATTTGTTACATCAAAATAGATCTTGAAGTTCAATATGAATAAGTGATGGAAAACGTTGAACAAGTTTTGATGCAAAATTTGAAGGAAAATAAATTTTTTTTGTTATTGATTCAATCATTTTAATTTGTTTAAAAATTGGAATAAGAGATGGATTATCAATTAATTTTGATAAAACCAATAATCGACTACCAATTATAAGATTAATTACATTTGGACATGCTCTAAAATAAAATAATAAATTTCATATTCAATAAATATAAAGTAAATTTACTGTAAAATAAATTGAACATCTTTCCATCTAGATATATCGAATGTTGATCCAAATTCTATTTGAGATACATTCGATAACTGAACAAAATATGAAAGATAAGTAACACTTTGTTCTGCAAAGACATTATCATTCATTTCACTAAATTTAACTAAAATAATATAATCGAGCACATCTATCTATGATTTACAATGACGAACAAATTAAAAAACACATTCTTCTTACCAATATTGGATAAAGTGTTCCACAACGATGAACGTATTATTGGCATTTCTACAATCAGATATTTGATTTGTTGAAAACGAGCAGAAGACCAAGTAACAATTGGGATTTTCTTTGTTATGAATATTATTAATTTTTCAATATCAGAATAAAAAAGATGATGATTATTTGATGCTGTTGATTGTGTTGCAAACGATCCACCATAAATAATCGGAATACCAATACATAAGCTTGCTTTGTGTTTCCGATAATTAAATGTGCGTAACATAACAAATTCTTCTACAAAAACAAATATCTTGAAGATATAAAGAAAATAATTCTTTTCTCTAATTTAAAATTACAAAAGTATACCTCATCAAAATATTCATTTGTTATCTGAATTAGATATCACTCAAACTCTACGTTTTTTGCTTAAAAATTGCATATCAACAAAACTCACTATAATGGTAAATCCTAACTATCGCTCAGCTTTATTTGACTATTTAAATCAGTTTTATTTACCTCGAGGTCGGCAATAAAATTTCCATCGATCAATAGTTATATTCCAATTAAAATATTTTTTAACAAAATATTCAAATGAATTGACAACAATATCTAAATTTAATCTTGGATACTTTTTGGCAATTGCCATATGCAATTCAAATTTAGATAAATGTGGAACATAACGTTCTAACATATCTTGCCATACATAACCATCAAGTAATTCACCAGGAAATGGCCACGCAGCTTTTCGTATCCCGAGAAGGAAATAAAAATACATTAGATTAGGCATACAACGTAAAATATAACCAATTGAACGGCTATCACATCTAGCAAGAATCTCTAAATCGAAAGATATAACGTGTGGTAATATAGGAAGATCATTTTCATTAATAGATGGCGTTGAAATTGAAACACTAAAATAGAAAAAAACTTTATTTTTAACCTTTTTTTTTGTTTTAGAGATTTCTCATCTGATATATTTGTATATTTATTACGAGAATTTACTTGATATTATTATTTTCAATTTGATCATTCTGTCTCACTATGATGCCTAAATATCGAATTGTTTGACAAAGGCGAAGAATTGATAAAATTGAATAAACAGATACTGTAGAAGATGAACCAGATATATATAATTTAAGTGAGATCAGATTCGAAGGTATCAACATATAATTTGACATGTCCATGTAATTATAACGATAATGAAGTTCAATTGAATGAACAGATGATTTGTGCATTAACATAATTCGAGTTAAGTCAGATCTATCGATTGTACTTATATTATAATCATTTGGTGCACAAATACAAAATGAAACAAGTTTATTCAGAGTCTTAATTCGTTTAATAACATTTTCAAGTTTCGTTATCGAACTATTTGCAACCAAAACACATGATTCAAGATTAGTAAAATTGTGTCGATGAAATAATAAATCAATAATAGATGTATAATCACGAATTTTATCATAAATGTTTATCGAAATAACTTGATGAGCATGAAAAGTAAGATGAGAAGAAATAAAATCAACTTGACGACGAGAATGATCATATAAAATAAGAATACGAAGTGGAATTGATTGTAATATAGACGAAATACGTTTATTTAATGAAGTAAAACCAGTAAAAATCTCAAGTGCATGTAAATAATCAAGTATTTCGAAGAAAATTTCATTTGATAAATCTTCGAAATGGGTATATCTATCCATTTGTGCAGGTAATAAGAATAAATAATGATAAAAATTATGAGTTAGTTTAGTTGTCTGTAAAGATTGTATGAAATGGCTGAGTATGTATAGAGAATATGTTATATACTTCATCATAAACAGCCTATAAGCAATATTGACGACAATAAGAAAATGAAAAATGATGTTGACTCTTGATTCTATTGTAATATTTGAAAGAAAAGTAATAAAATATGTTTGACGATATCAATTCGTCCAATTATTTTCTATCGACATAATTTTTGTCCATATTGTAATCTTAAAGAGGAGAAGCGACAAAGAAAAAGACGACTGTATTTCTTTGGATAGAAAATTTATTCAATCAGATCGTAAATGGTAATCATGTTGCATCATCATCATATAATGAAAAAAAATGAATTGGAAAAGTCAACTAATGCTCATATTGAATGACGATTAATCACACTCTTAACTGAAAGTTATGTGATGTTTGATTCAATGAATTTCGATTTAAATAATTGAAGAAGGTTATTGCTGTTATTTAGAATTTTATATTTATAATTAAAAAACAGAAAATGATTTCCAATGATATCATTTTACGTTTGTTTTAATATTAGTTGAATTTTAGATGTCAACGACATTCAAATTTGCATCTTGAGTATTCTCAGATAAGACAAGAAATTGATTGGTTTGGTTATCGAAATGCTGGTTAGACGAGTATTATTTTTAATCAAATGAGTCTATTGAATAATTAGGTGAATTATCAAGTCATCTAGTTAAAAATCATGAAAATATTCGTGAAGGTTTTGGTTTTTGTCTGACAGATTTTATTATTCGTCTTTCTAGAATTATTGCCAGTCTAATATTTTCTTTTTATGTTGGTTGGAAATTAACACTTATCTTTCTTTCAATATCACCATTAATTGTTCTTTCATTTAATCATTTAATTGAAGTAAAGAATTATTTTTTAAATAATAACGTATTTTTATTTTTATTATTTAAGGTTATTATTAAATATACAATTTTAGAGTTACTAGCATATAATACAGCTAATTATATTGCACAAGACGTTTTAGTTGCAATACGAACAGTAATAGCATTTGGTGAACAAGATAAAGAAACTGAACAGTACAAATTTAAAAGAATTTATTTTTATTGAAATTAAAAATATATAGATATCGAAAGAATTTATCTGTTGGTAAACGTGTTAGTATTCAAAAAGGTTTTATATTAGAAATAACTCGAGCTATAGTTAATATTGTTCTTTATAGTGGTAGGTATTTCAATTATTTTTTGGGATGGACCATTATTAATTCGAAATGAATGTCAAAATTCTAGATCTGGTCATTGGATGGTTGTATGTGTTAATTAAATTTGAAATAATTTTTATTTAAATTTGTTAATTTTCTATTTAGATATTTGTTTCTCGTTGAACATCAATAGTTTCATTATCTCGTTTAATAGCAATTTTACAATCATTTGCTGAAGCATCTGATGGATATGTATTTGATATAAATAAGAGAGAAAAAAAAATAAATATATTTCGAAATGATGGTGAAATTTCATCGAATTTTATTGGTGATACTGAATTTAAAAATGTTTATTTTACCTATCCATCACGAAAAGAATTATCTGTATAAAAATATTATCTTTTTATTTGAATTTTTTTCTAAATAGATTCTCAATGGTTTAAGTGTCGAAATTTCTTCAGGAAAAGCTGTAGCACTTTGTGGACCATCTGGTTATGGAAAAAGTATAACAATTCAATTGATTCAAAGGTTTTATGAGGGTGTGGGTGTGGGTGTGGGGTGTGGGTGTGGTGGGTGTGGGGTGGGGTGGATGAGGGTGCGGGTGGGTGTGGGTGTGGGTGTGGATGTGAGTCTTCTCTTCAGCGACACCCACATCCACCCTTTGATATCAAAATTCTGCTTGAAAAACAAAATTATAAGCGGAGTTTTGATCAAGATGCAATGATAAGCATATATGATGACACCTAATTCTGCTAGGAAATCAGAATTCTGACACAGTTGTGTTGTACTAAACAGAATTTGCAATAGCATTATTATGGTTCTGCTACAGTATCATAAGGATTATATTAATATGAACAGGATGTAAATGTACAGATTTACAATACCAAATTCTTACATTCTGCTTGTGAGAATTCTGCCATGCCGCGACGTCTCAGTTCCGTGTTACAAAAACCTTCAAAAACAGCCAATAGGGAACAGTAGTCCACTGAAAAATGTGTTTCTGTATTGAAAACACATTCTAATTAGAATCGCTCTAATGCTCTTTTGCAGCATAATCTGGAAAATATTCTTTACGTTCTCTCTACCGAAAAAAGTGTTTCCATGGTCGTAGGATCTAATTGATGCAGTGTACATTAGCAGTGATTACATATGAAGAGATCTTTCTAAAATAGGAACATACTCGAGAAAATCCTGTTGTATATTAATTAAAATACCTCTTCACCTTTTCACCTTCTTCTAGAAATTCAGAAATGTTTTTACCATCAAATGCTGTGTTCATAATTGAATAAAACGTATATTCAGGTATACATGTCTAAGTTTGTTCTATAAAGTATTCTTTCTGAGCCTGCGAACATAATTCGTTTCGCAAGAAAGATCTAAAGACATTTTCCGAATCATACACAAAAAAAACAACAGTGAATGTGTACTCAATTGATGCTTTTATGTAATCTGTTTCTGTGTAGACAACCATATTCAATGAAGTTAGCTTGAGACTGATAACTATGCTAGTGATAGATTCGACTGTAAACGAATTTCATCTATACTATTCAAATCTCAACACAGACAATTGACTGAATAAGTTTGACAAAAAATAATTAATTTTCTTTTTTTTCAGTTATTTAGCTATTGAGAAGGTAAAATGTCGTCAATGACAGATCTTATTCTTTAGAAAAAAAGAGTGCTGTTAGACATTATATCAAGATATCAGGACAAGTTGATTATATTGTTCAAAGAACGCTACTCTTACCAACAATTGCCTTCTTATTTTTCACAAAATATTACGTGTTGCTTTCTCATTGTATATATGTCGAAGAACTAAAAAAAATTCGTTTACTAACGATTTATTAGAGAAAAATGAATTGAAACTAAGAATTGTTGACTAGACTACCAGAAACTATAACTTTTTTAGGGAACTTAATAGAAGATCTTCTTGAAACTTATGCCCAATACGACAGAATAGAGATGTCTGGATCTTCTGGTGTGTCGAGAGGTTTAGATAGTGTTTTAAAAAGCATTTTCTAGAAAAGAGCCTGCTAATTCAAATATATTACTTCCGCTTTGTTAAATAATAACTTAGTTCAGTAGATAAATAAACGAACATAAAAAAGACAAAACACGCATTCCATAGACAACAAACAAAAAGTCAATCCATTGCAAAGTTTCTAATTCTAAACACAATGTATTTTAATGAGCAAAATACAGTAAAAACAAAAAATCGAAGTTCAATACCAGTAACACTCGACAATCTTATATAACAGCTTTTCCAAAAACCGATTTACTCATCTAACAGAATCTTGAATTACTTCAACCATGTAATCGTATTCAACTGATTCATTCAGTTCATTTCCTATTTAAAATGCTCTTCAAAACAAGCTAATATCGAAAATGTTGCCCAAAACTTTGTAAAAAAAAAAGAAAAATATCCGTAGTAAGTGTCTGAATGTCCGGAAATGTTTGACACTCCCTTTTCTCGGTTCACTTTTGTCCAGTACCAACAAATTCTTCCATTTCCCCTTTACCTGGACATCTTTTATTGATGGCCGCTTAGCTATGTAATTAAAATTAGCAGCAGCAGCATCAATAAAATAACGTAAAGCCAAAATAGATTTAATATTCCTATGTTTAAGTGTAAGAAAATCAAATGATTTTGATGAAGATACTCATGAATAATTAACAATTGAAATTTGTTTTATATAACGACTGAGTTTATTTATTTTCAATGAAAAATGATCTTGAACTGGACCAAAATATTTTGGTTTAGGTAAATTTATATATCGAGTATTTTGTTTTGATTAATCAACAACGTTTTCGTTTCTCGTTTTTATCATGATGTCTTTTTATTGAAATAAATTTTAACAAGAAAAACATATATATGTTGATGAAAATAGTTAACTAGCGGTGCCACATTGTACTTGTTCTCCACTGGATGTGAACCATTCAGCTTTGCAGCCTCCACAATAGTTCGAGATACATTTAGCGTCAGGATATGCTGGACATGTTGCTTCCTATTCAAAAACTTTTGTGTTAAAAAGAAAACATATAAGCTAGTCATTATAACTTACTTGACATGGATCTACGAAACATTGAACTTTGCTCTGACCAGGTGGACATGAAGATGATTTAGTACAATTTGCTGGAGTACCATCAGCTTTATACCATAGAGCATTGCATTCACCACAATAGTTAGAGATGCATGTAGCGTTTTTATCTCCTGGACATGTTGATGTCTAGACTTAATTAAATATATTCAAACCTATTACAATATGAAGAACTTACAGAGCATGGATCCACAATGCAATGCACCATTGGTTTATCAGGTGGGCATTGAATCATTCCAGTTGGTAGTCCAAATATACCTATAATAAAATGATACTAAAATAAACTTTTCTAACAAATTACTCACCTCCGATGATTAATGTTGAAAGGATAATAGTGGCAAGATATGTAATAGTTTGCATTATGTTTTTGTATTTGCTTGAGAATAGAATAATCTATCGTTTTTCCACTTCATATTTATAGGCTCTCATAAGTACGATTATGATTATTCTTGACAAAAATGATTCTGATCATTGTCACGCATATGCATCGTAATACAGACGTAGTCTGCTTTATCCATGATTCATGATTTAACCTTGAAGAACGAACGTCATATGTATTGAATTGAGGGTCTGACTTTTATCTCTCTGTTAACCATAAAAAAGTACGTTTTTCTAAAAATATTCTTCGGAAATTTTGACAATAATATTTCTATATTTATGCACGTAAAAATTGTATTATAGATTTGTCTCTTTCATTTTGTATTTTCTTTTCTGTAGTACGATTGTTACTAATAAAAGGATCATTACGTACTTTGTTTTTTTTAATAGTTTGTTGACTAATAGCATTATGATGACACCCAAGAAAAAAGATACATGACGACATTTTTAAGAACAATAAACACAACAAGAAGACAAAAGGAGAATAAATCACATCAGTTCTCGATATACACACCCATTGAGAATGCACACGTAGATTTGCACATAGATATAGATATGAAAAGATAGAAAATACAGAAAAATTCGTTAATTCTGTGTGTATTTTCTAAATAATTGTTGGATTACTTCAAGAAGATAGACAAAAGTAAAGGGTATACACCTTTTCAATGCTATAATGTGCCATGCTGTGTCAATCATAGAACGAGAAATTGTCTGTTTCGAGGAAAAAACAAGAAAAGAGAAAATGCTATTTCATATGTACAGTATTGAACCATTGTTGTTGAGCATGGGTAGCAGCAGCTACTGCAGCTCGTTGCTGTTGAACTTGTTATCTAATTTTAAGTGAACGGCGAAATATCAAAATATGAGGTTCTATAAATATACGAAATAAATTAAACCCTAGTGAAACATTTCTTGTCATTTGATTGTTATGTACAGACGTCAAGATATGTTCATATCGCATGACTTTCTTTCCATAGACGAGCACTTGAAGGACCCACTTAGAAAATCGAATTTTTCAAGGAAATATCGAAGTTGAGTTTTTATTACAAGAAGATGCAGCGAAACCTCCTCTTTCAGCATATATATAGCTGTTTGGAAAAAGACCAAATTTTCAAACACTTATCACATAAAACTTTGAGTCTACTACCATATTTTCGGAGAAATTTTCGTGATTTTTAAAATTTTTCAGTTTCAGAAAAACTGCGTAGCCACTTGCATTATTATTGAATAGAACATTTTTACATTAACCAGCATGTCAGATGGCTTTACCTACCTTCATCTAATTATTACGTACTTTAAAACGATCCACTGGAATATATTAAAATATATCATTGTAATATGATTTGTTCTGGATTTGAATGAAAAAATTCATTTCTAAAACTTCTTCAGCGTTTTTTCTCAAAACACGGTTTCTAGACAGGAAAATTGAAATAAGCCCCTCGGTTCGGGGTATAATCGATGTTTTTTTTTTCTGTTTCAAAGGTCTTCATCACAGCTAACTTTTCATGGGACGAATTTTTGATTCTTGATTGAAGGGCTCAGAAAAATGGGATTTACTGTCGTGGAGCGACATTTTTTATGCTTATTTTACACACCATGTGCATAAAAATGGTCATAAAAAATGAAAGGAAAGGAGTTTCAAAATTCTGTCTGACGAAAAGTTACGCACAGAGGCTACTTTTAATTTGAAACCAGTCCGAGCCCTGTACCACTTCCATCGACCAAGTTATTTCAATGCTCCTGGAAGTTAGGAAAACCAGCTTGAAGTTCGGTCTTGTCAGGCATATCAGGCTGAAATTTTTACCACAAGCGTTTCTCACTAGGACCAATCTTTCCTGGAAGTTTCAGCCGGAACAGTTCATTCTAAGTGGGAAATCATTTCTGCAGAGACCTCCTTGAATGCTTGTATGAGTTATGTGTACATTCAAAGTAGTTCAAACATTGAACTCATGAAAATCATACGAATGAGCACACTTGAAACAATCGACTCTAGCAAAATAATCAAAGCTTTTCTATTCAAGATTCAAGAATGCTCCTTGTCACTGAGAATATCTAAATCTATTTACTCATTTAGATGCCCTATAAATAACAATGTCTCTTACACACTTTTTTATTTACGCTGTGAATTTTTATTATGAATAGAATTGTTTCGAATGAAAAACTGAAGAAAAAAAGAAATGCACATATAAAAAAAAATTAAAAGTAATGTCACAAATCACATGTATTATTTTTATAGTTGTGACAGATGACCAGATCCAATGGAGTACTGCTATCGCTAACTTGTAATGGGAACGAACTTTTATTGTTAATCTATGCAGCTCGCAATATTTTACATAAAGTATTTCGTTTGTGATCATCCTTACACACACTTGAATAACAAACATAAACACTTAAACAAGAATTCAAGTGTGTGACGAAAAATTTTGAGCGATACAAGAAGAAGTCGAAGCGCATGAGCTTGCCAAATGGCCTCAAGAGTCTTGCTTTAAGATGTGTCCATATCACATGATATTCTGGCTAAAGATACTCAAGAACTTCATGAACATGAAAGAATCGATTATAAAACCCGTTGATACATTTGAAGAATCTCGTCTGAGAGACGATTTTTCAAAATCTATGTCCATAATAATATCAAAGTTTAGTATAGACAATATTTGACTCCCATCATTCTAGCGACGTGTTAGTTATGAATTGTGAGTTACAAAAATCTTAAAAAACCAACCAACAGGAAACAACAGTCTATTGAAAAATACATTTCTTTATTGAAAACATATTCTAGAATCATTTCAATACTATTTTGCAGCGTAATCTGGAAAATATTCTTTACGTTCTCTGTATGAAAAAAGCGTTTCCATCATCATATGATTTAATTGGCGCGGTGTACATTAGCACTGATTACATATGAAGAGATCTTTCTAAAATAGAAACATATTTGATAAAATCCTGTTGTATATTAATCAAAATACCTCTTTGTCTTTCCACTCTTTCTACAAATTCAGAAATATTTTTTGTCACCAAACGGTACATTTATATTTGAAGAAAACATATATTCAGATATACATGTCGAAGTTTATTCTATAAAGTATTCATTCTGAGCCTGCGAATATAATTCTTTTTTTAAAACAAGATCTAAAGATACTTTTCGAAACACACAAAAAAGCACTAAATATGTACTC